AAGCATAATAAGGTTGGAGCTCTAGAGCATATTCTATCAATGTAAAGGAAATTTTCCACAAACTGCCTGGTCCACCGTCGATTTGAGCATTGTAATACTCACTATCTCAATTCAAGGATGTATTAAGTCCCCGCACAACATTTCTTTACACCGACGGTGCAGGCTATATTGCTCAACAAAGTTACCCTCGAAAATTAAGTTTCCTTTTGTTTTTATAAACTTGAAGAGCGGCAAAATTAGAGTTTCCAGTTAAAGCATATTGCAATGATTATTAGCATTCGTCAAAGATAATTTCTTTCAATTTGTATCAGCCACACACTAATGACTACTTTCGCTTCTAAAAGTTGAATTTCTCGGTATATATTCTTAGATATCATTAGAATTATTTCGTTAGAATGAGTCTAAACAACCTCTCTTGTCCTGAACATTTTGTTTCCCTATAAATTTAAGCTCTAGCGCTCAAGCACACTTCCCTCTTGCTTACTCATTTTCACAAACACACAAACACATGCGCAATGAACTTGGCATGCATAGATCACCCTCTTGAGAACAAAGCACAAGATCCATGGATCTTCCTTCTCTGATCTGTTGGCTTCATCGTTGTCCTCAAGCACACCCTCTCTATCCTCCAATGGCTTCACTCCACCTTCCTCAGACCCTCCAAAGACCTCGTCAAGTACGGCCCTTGGGCTCTCGTCACCGGTTGCATCGACGGCATCGGCAGGGATTTAAAACAGCAAGATCTCCAGGGATTTAAAACAGCAAAGCAGTCCAATCCAAGTGAGTCAGGACAGCGAGGATAAATGTAAGGCCCTTAGCATATCAAGCAACAAGGAGAACCCGAATATAAAACTCGAACAAGAGATAGTAATTTGACACAAGGCAGACTCAATTCGAACATGAACTCCACTTAGACAAGCCCGGTTCTAACTTACTAAACCATATAGAAATCTGTTTCAAACGGTACAACAAGAAGTTTTATTGAAGGTAAAAAACAGACTGAAACTCCCGACCTCTGTAAAGCCCCTAGATGATAGGAAGCCTCTCCTGTCTCCGATCCTCTCCTGTCTCCGATCGAAGGTCTTCCAACCGTTGCCTTGTATGTAAAAGCTTCCTTCTGGTGTTGGCTCCAAAAAGAATGACTGAGGGCAGAATCAGACTCACAGCAGAGCGTTAGGCAAACGAAGAAGAGCGGGGGCGCGAAGGAGAAGTAGAAGAAATAACTAGACAAACTTGAGATATGCACGGGTACACACGGGGTCGTATCATCAAAGTGCGATACACACACATATATATATAGCTGAGGCATGAAGCAACAATGTGAAAAACGCGGCCAAGGTCATATCTTAATCTCCTTCAAATACTTTGCAATTTCTGCATCAGAAACATCTTGCTAGACTGTGCAAGTTTTTTTTTTTTACAAGGAGGGCATCTGGCAACTTCCAAGGGACAGGTAACCTCATAGCGGGCACAGAATTTCTCCCACGAAAATGACTTGGGAGGCGATCGATTCGATTCGATTCGATAGAGAAGGAAATAAAATAACTGTAAATTTTCACCCCAAAAGTTCCTCGGAGCAGCAGCAGCAACAAGACATCCATTCGATTCAATTCGGTTCGCAATAACAAATCTTCTTATGAACGGATGGATACTCTGCTAACAATGAACGATGGGATCGCCGCCCAGGCCAAGGTGGTGGTGATATTCAATCGAACAAAAATGCCCATCTCATCCAAACCACCATCCTCCTTCGACGCTCAAAAAAAAAAGAAAAAAAGAAAAAATTTAAATAACAATTATAAATGGATACTCCTTCATCAACCCGATAGAGATAGAGATAGAGATAGAGAGATAGAGAGATAGAGAGAGAGACCTGGCTGAAACTGAGGGCCTCCGGCTTCCCGTCTAGCCACAAGAAGCCGATGGCCAAGACGAGCGCGCCGCGGGTGAGGGCCACGGGAGAGCAGTTCATCTTGCTGATATGGAGCTGGCACTGCTGAAGGGAGGTGAGTTTGGCGACGATAGCCTCTTTGCCCTTGATCCTCTCCCGGCACTCGAAGTTCATCACCGACTCTTCCCGGTACAGGTTCACCAATTCCGTCCGGTTCGCGTCGAACTTCCGGTAGTAGTTCTCCACGAACCCCTTGGCCTCCGCTGTTATCCGATCCTGGGTTTCTCTATCCAGCATCGGCATCTCTCCCTTCTCCTTCTGCTTCTGGTTCTGTGTGCGATGCAGCCAGACGGTTACCCACAAGAGAGAAAACCTAGAGGGGAAGGGGGCATCCGCGTTCCCTAAGGAAAAGAAGCCGACCGACCCAAAACCCACCGGTCCGTCGTTCCGGTAGAAGGACTACTGGTTTTTCTTTTTTCTTTCTTTTTCTTTTTCCAGTTCAGAAAAACCAAAACACGGAGGCGCAGGGCAGAGGCAATTAATTTTTATAAGTGACTCCTCTTCGGCAATAATAGTTTGATGTAGGTTTTTGGATACAAATTGAGGCAACTTCTGCTGAAAACGCAAGACCAAATTATGTATATTTTGGCCGAGATACAAAAGCCAAACGAAGATCACCACTGGTCCAACTTTTCTCAGCTTTCTGATTTTGCTAGAGCCTCTTATTTGGTTGTTTGTTAAGTTCTCGTGTCAATATGGCTTTTCTCGGGTCTACGGTGTCGGTACAGAAACGGCGATTCCAGCTGTCCCTGCCGAGACTCCGAAGCGGTTTTTATCAGAAACGGTACCGGTTAAAGTCGTGTATATGGCAGTAATAGCTGTTGGAGACGTTCCCGATACTCCGTTGTATCTTCTTTTCTTTTTTTTTTTTAAAGTACCATTTTCAGATTAAGATTATTTTAATCGAGTGTTTGACTATTTAATTGTCGCACAAAATTGTATGTCAACTTCCCATCCCGAAGCACCATGTTTTCGTTTCCAAATTTCCAGGATTACTAAAGCTCTCCTTCTCCACGACAGAGTGTCGTCGATATGATAAAGGCTCATTTTAGGCAGAAAGGCGCAGTCCTTGACAGCCAACGAATTCCTAACAATTCAGTTCCATCGCATGACGAACATTGGTTTTCATTTCTTGTTGAATGTGAAGCTGCTGTGTTGAGTGCACGGTTAATCTTTCTCTTCCGTACATTGTAGTAGCCTTTGTTTGTTATCCGGCAAGTGCTTCTTCGTGACTCTTTAGGCTCGATGTGCATCGGTGCAGAGTGTGGTAATGACCAGCTACAAAATGCCAGCTGATGATTTAAAAACCGTGAAGGACTACTACGACTTGCTCACGAAATCTGTGTTTCGTCATGCCCTAAACCAAAAGTTTCTTCAAACAAATCTCGGAGGAGAGATCCGCCCTATTTCTCATGTTCAGCTGATTCAGATGTCTTAGTTCGTCCACTGAAGGCATACGTGACAACAGCATTGTGCGAAGGAGGAGGAACCATGGAGGCTCCAGGATCAATTCTCACGGAGGTAAATATGTCAGTTCTTTGTTGTATATCTTAGGCTCCATTCGTTTGGCGAAAAATATTCTCCTTTTGGAAAATATTTTCCCGAAAGTCATTTTCCTGAAAAATGTTTTCCTGGAACACGGTGTTCGGCTAAAATCTGAAAAAGTTTCGGAAAATATTTTCTGGTGTTCGGCGACCGGCGGCGGCGATCGGCAACCGGCGGCCGTTGGTGGCGGAGGGCGGCAATGGGCGGCGGCGGCGGGCGGCGACGGGCGGTGGACCGACGGCCGGCGGCGGCCGACGATCGACGGTGACCGGCGACCGACGACCGGCGGCGGCGATGGCGACCGGCAGCGGCCGAGGACGGCGGCGGCGGTGGACCGGCGACCGGCGGCGGCCGACGACCGACGGTGACCGGCGACCGACTTACCGGGCGGCGGCGACGGCGGCGCCAGCTGATGGGCAGCGGTCGGCGGCGGCGACGGGCGGCGGCCGGCGACCGACAATGGCGATCGACGGCGGCCGACGATCGACGGCGGACCGGGTAATCGACGACCGGTGGCGGAGATCGGCGACGGCGACCGTCGCCGTCGATCGGCGGCGGCGACCGCCGAACGCCGGGCGGCGGGCGACCATGCGGCCGGCGGCAACGACCGGCGGCGGTGACTGGCGGCAGCGACTGGCGGCCGACGGCGGTGACCGGCGATCAACTTCCTCTCAGAGGAAATCATTTTTCCCCAAAGTGAAGGCAAAATTGCCTATGGGAGGGAAAATATTTTCCGTGGGAAGTTATTTTCCGCCCCCGAACACTGGAAAATTCAGAAAATATTTTTCCGGAAAATATTTTCCGCCAAACGAACGGAGCCTACACAACACAATTGCCTAGTGAGCACTTAGGCTGCATTTCACAACCCGTATACGCGGACGGATACGATAATAGTTATCTTGTTCTAATTAGAAGGGGCATTAGTTGCTAACTGCATGATGCTTACATTTCTCCAAAGGTGATCTCGATGCTTTTGCTTTTCATGGATGTTTGCATGGCTCGGGCGAAAAACGCGCATTCTTAGTTGCAATAGTTACTCTTTATGATAATGTTTGTGCTTGTAATACTTTTCTTTCTTTTTGTCTTTCCAACCACTGGACCATATTAAGGCCAACTAGGGAAAGGAGAATACTGTAAAACTTAAGTAACACATGCGTCCAATTACCACATATTTGTTGGAAGAAGGTAGACTCATCTTACGCGTCGTGCTTGACTAATCGGTTCGAACCAATGAAGTTATTGGACATGGAGTTCTCAGTGAGTGTCAAAGTTAGTACTATTCTGACTCCTCTTCATATCCATCGGTTGCAGTACCAATTATTTACTACAGTATGCAGCACTATTTGTCACTGGGTGGTTCACTTATATTCATCCCCTCGATCATGGTCCCAACCATGGGAGGATCCGACGTAAGCTTAGTTTTGGAGAGAGAAATTTGATGTTTTCTCAACGTTGCTTTGATATTTTGTTGACACATCTTTAACATTTTTTACTACAGAAGGATAGTGTGACTGTAATTTCCACAATGCTATTGGTGTCTGACATTACTACGTTGCTGAACTCTTACTTTGGTACCTGTCTTCCATCAGTTCGAGGGAGCTCATTCGTATTTTTGGCGCTACCTTTAGTAATAATGAATTCACTGGAATATCGCAATCTCACTGAACATGTAATTCTCTTATATTGATGAATTCATACTGTCTTACAAATTCAGTCCCTACCATTTCTTCCACATGTTTAGAAATAAAGGATCACAATGAGCATGCAAGGAATCAGGTTGATGGAATAAGCAGGAAGCACGACAATGTGTCACCTTGTCTTAGTCTCTTTTGTTTTTTTGATATCGTCTTTTATATCTAGCGGTACTTTTTTAAGTTTAAAAAAAAAAAGGAGATCTACGGTCTATTCTTGACTGAAATGAAGTTGAACGCGCAACCCCGGCGGTCTTTTTCTTGTTTTCTGTAGAAATTCTTGCAATTGTGCTAACCTGTACTGTCCAATTAAGTGCAGAGGTCTAGGCATATAATGAGGTAATTGCAAGGTGCTATAATCGTTGGTTCAATTTTCCAAAGCTTTCTAGGGCTTACGGGTTTAATGTCCCTCTTAATCAGGTAATTTGGATTTTATAGATGAGCGTTGCTGCATATATTTAGTTACCCTGGTAGAGCTAATTCTGTATCTACAACTGATGCACTGCGGTGTACTGATTTAAAAGACAGTTCTTAATGTAATTTTTTTTAGGAAACTCTCTTATGATCTAAAACCTAATACAGCGTCTACAATTCTCTTTTAATTTCATTTAGAATTTTATGGATCAGAGCTAAATTTGTGAGCTTCCGGGTAATATGATTCTGCTTTTGCAGGCTGATAAATCCTGTGGTGGTTGCGCCAACTGTTGCTGCAGTTGGTTTAGCATTTTTCAGTTATGGTTTTCCTCAAGCTGGTAGCTGTGTCAGATCAGCGTTCGGCTGATACTATTGGTTCTTATTTTCTCCTTGGTAAGAGGCTTCTCTTGCTTGCGCTCTTAAATCTCTATCAATGAGTCGAAAAAAAATTATTGTCTCTTTTGAAGTCATTTTCTGTTTTCATTCTATTCGGGCAAACATAGAAATTTATCTCGTGTAGTAACATCGCTTTTGTTTTTCCAGTATCTTCGAGGGATCTCCATCTTTGGGCATAGATTGTTCCGAATATATGCGGTACGTACAGTCTTGAATAGTTGTTTAAGATTCATCTTCCAAACCGTTGTTCCAGGCTTTGATCTTTTTCCCTTGTGAACTTTGAATTTTGAAGACATCGAATTATATGTTCAAGTGTTGCAGATTCCAACCGTTTTGTTTTGAAGTGCTTAGAATTGTACAGCCCATGCTTCCCCTGAAAAGGACCCTTAATTTGGTTTACCAACCACATGAAAGTCTGATTAATAGCTTGCTCAAGCGTTTCTTGTAATCGCCAAGGCAATTTTAAAGTTTATTAAGCACAATACAGGATTGAGCTTAGTTATATGACATCTCTAATTAACTGCATGTTCCATTCAGCATGATGATTATATGGGCATATGCATTCTTTTTGACAGCCAGTGGGGCATATGATTACAAAGGCTGCAGTCCCGGCATACCCAGTTCGAACATTTGAATACAATGATATTGTCAAAAAGGAGCATCAAGTGTCATGGGAGAAGGAGCAAATGGTCATGCTGTTGGCGAAAGCTTCTAGAACCTCGGTTGAAGAAGACCTTGGGGTCTATCAACGGCTATCCTTTTCTGACAATGCTTTGAAAAGGTTGAGGAAGAGAGAACTTCTGAGTTGGGCCCTTCTCATGCTGATTTGGAATCATTTGAAAGAATTAAAAGCCTGTTATATTTGCGGGTTCAGGAGTTAATGCTACATGAGAAAGTACTTGAAGAAGAGATGCTGGAAAAATCTCAGAAGGTTTATAATCTTTCATATCAGTTGCAATTGTTGTCTAAAGAACTTGAAACACTCAAAGAGGAAAAGGATCATTTGAAAAAGGATCTCGAACGATCAGAAGAGAAATCTGCTCTTTTGAGAGAAAAGTTATCTATGGCAGCCAAGAAAGGAAAGGGACTGGTTCAAGATAGAGAAAACTCGAAACATCTTCTGGATGAGAAGAACTCCGAATTGAAAAACTGAAGCTTGAGATACAGCAGCAGGAATCTGCAGTTACTGAGTCCAGGGATCGGATAAACAGAATGTCTACTCACATTGAGCACATACCAAAGTTGGAGGCAGATCTTGTTGCCCTAAAAGATCAACGGGATCAAATTGAGCAGTTCTTATTGGAGAGTAATAACATGTTGCAGAGGGTGATTGAGTCCATTGATGGTATCGATATTCCTGCAGGCACTGTCTTTGAAGAGCCTGTGGAAAAGTTAAAGTGGCTGGCGGAGTACCTCAATGACTGTCAAAAGGCTAAGGAACTTGCTGAAGAAGAGTTGGCCAAAGTTCGAGAAGAATCTAGTGATTTATTTGGCAGGTTAGCTGAAGCCCATACTGATATGAAATTGTTGCAAGAGGAAAGGCAGGGGTTTGAAAAGTCGAAAGAAGAAGCCATTGACTTAGAAAGCGAGTTAGTTGAAGCCAAAGCATCTATCAAAGCTCTGGAAGATTTGTTGTCAGCAGCACAGGATGATGTCCTCAGGCTTGTGGAAGAAAAGAGGGAAATAGAAACCAGTAAGGAAAATGTTGAAAAAGAGCTGCTGAAAGCCATTGAAGAAGCTTCTTCCCAAGCTAGTAACTTCACTGAGGCTTGTCTCAAGAAGTCCCTTGAAGAGGCACTGTCGCAGGCAGAGAATGATGTTAATGCACTCACCAATGAGAAGGAAGCAGCTCAAGTGTTTAGAGCCGTGGCAGAAAGGGAGCTAGAGAAACTGAAGGAGGAGATCTCCATTCAGACTGGCAAATTGGCAGATGCACAACAAAGTATAAAGTCACTAGAAGATGCATCATTGGAGCTGGAGAAGAAGGTTGGTTTATTAACTGAGCAGAACCATAATTTAGAAGGTGGGAGAAGCCATATGGAGACTGAGCTGAAGAAGCTGCAAGATGAATCTGCAACCAAGGAAATCAAGCTGGCGGATGTTACTCTAACCATTAAATCATTGGAAGATGCAGTGTCAAAGGCTGAGAATAATGTGCTGGAGCTTGAGAATCAAAACAAGAGATATAACCAGGAAGTATCAGCACTCAATTCAAAGTTGAATGCATGTCTAGAAGAAATGGCTGGCAAAAACGGCAGTTTGGAGAGCAGGTCTCTAGAACTTGTCAGTTACCTTGATGAGTTGCATGCCCTTGTGAAAAACGAAACGTTGTTTCCCCTCATCAAGGATTGCTTCGAGAAAAAAATGGGAGTGCCTGAAGAGCATGAATGACATCCTTGAGAGAGTAAAGGATCAACATATTTCCTTACATTCAGAAGCAGCGGAAAAGCAAACTGTCCATGAGGTATTGTAGAATATATGCTTCTTGAGTGCTGATTACCGTTTATGCAAAGGTTTCTTATGTAGCTTTTCTCTTTCTATGTCTCAGGAAGATCCCATCACCAAAAAACAGTTCCCTGTTGAACTTAGCAATAGCCTGGGTGTTGAGATGGAAGCTGGTCTGATGAATGAAGCGGGTGAAGACATCTCTTCATGGTTTAGAAGGACCATCGAAGGTTTTCAGTTAAAAAAACAAAATTCTTGTTGACAAATCTGAAGGCTTTTCCACATTTATAGATGAAATTCTGGCAGCTCTTTTGAAAAGTTAGAGGAAAGATGTGATGATGTAACAGCTATGTCTCAGGACATGAGATCTTTGAAGCAAGATATGAAACATATGGAAACGTACAAGCTAGAGCATAGAAATACAGTGGCCATGTTGGAAGATGACATTGCGACTTTATTATCTGCCTGTACTGATGCCACCACAAAATTGCTGCTTGAAGTTGAACGCTATCCTCTTGGGCAGTTGTCTAGTGCCGAGCTGGAAACCTCAGGTAGATCTTATGCAGAAGAAAGAGAAAGTAGTATAATTAATGCAGAATGGTGTCAAAAGAAGGTTGATGGCAGCAAACATGCCAAGCCTATTGGAGATTTGTTATTTTCCATTCAAAATGTTTATGCTTTGATTAAGCAGTTCCAGAGCTCAAGTGAGGTGACTTAAAGAAGCGAAAGCAGTTTCTCTAATAAGAACTGCTCAATTTGATCCATATTGACACGAGATCTTAAGGGCGCGAATAGTAACCATTCTGCTCCAGAAATCAAATTCTTGCCAGAAATTGATTTTTGGAGGAGAAATCTGTTTGATAAAACATGACTAATTCTGCTCCAGAAATTGATTTTTTTTACACCTAAAAAAATTTAAATTTCACTTAAAGTGGGTGGCCACAGGTATTCTAAGCCATTCTATGAAGTTTTAAAATTTTTTATTTTTTGATTTTTTTGGGCACCTCAAAAAATTTAAATTTCACTCAAAGTGGATGGCCAAAGGTATTTTAAGCCATTTTGTGAAGTTTTGAAATTTTTTATTTTTTTGGGCACCTCAAAAAATTAAATTTCACTCAAAATGGGTGGCCACATGTATTCTTAAGCCATTCTGTGAAGTTTTGAAATTTTTGATTTTTTTGAACACCTCAAAAAATTTAAATTTCACTCAAAGTGGGTGGCCACAAGTATTCTAAGTCATTCCGTGAAGTTTTGAAATTTTTGATTTTTTGATTTTTTTGGACACCTAAAAAAATTTAAATTTCATTCAAGGGTGGCTTCTAAGCCATTCTGTGAAGTTTCGAATTTTTTGATTTTTTGAAAAAAATTCACAAAATTTCCTATTTTCCCGAAATCTGACTTTTTTTTTATTTTCTGGAAATTTTTATGAATTTTTCTGGAATTTTTCAATTTTTATGCATTTTCTGAAAAAAAATTAGTGAGATCTCAAAATGTGTTGTAAAGGTCACGAAAAAGAGAGAAAAGAGGGAGAATGCATTCTGGAAGAGAGAAGCTACAAAAAGTAGCTTATCTTTTTCTTGCCCAAAACTCATTCTGGAATCAAGTATTTTTAACAAACGCATTTTTATTCCAGAATGCAAAAATTGCTCCAGAATGCATTCCGGAAATTTTTTAACAAACGCATTTCTGTTTCGGAATGCAATCTGGAGCAGAATTTCTGCTCCGGAATGGATTCCATGCGCGCCCTAAAGAAGCGGTTTTTATCGGGGCATATTGACACGAGAACTTAACAAACAACCAAATAAGAGGCTCTAGCAAAATCAGAAAGCGAGAAAAATTGGACCAGTTGTGATCTTCGTTTGGCTTTTGTATCTCGGCCAAAATATACCTAATTTGGCCTTGCGTTTTCAGCAGAAGTTGCCTCAATTTGTATCCAAAAACCTACATCAAACTATTATTGCCGAAGAGGAGTCACTTATAAAAATTAATTGCCTCTGACCCGTGTGCCTCCGTGTTTTGGTTTTTCTGAACTGGAAAAAGAAAAAAAAAGAAAAAGAAAAACCCGGTTTTGTAGTAGTCCTTCTACCCGAACGATGGACCGGTGGGTTTCAGGTCGGTCGGCTTCTTTTCCTTAGGGAACGCGACAATTCCAAACAAAAGGAGAACTCTGGAAGCCCCCTTCCCCCTCTAGGTTTTCTCTCGTGGTTACCGTCTGCTCTAGGGTTCGTCTATTACCTCGCCGCCGGAACTCTCCTTTCTCTCTCCTCGGAAATCACTCTCTCTTCATGGATCCCGTGGATCCCGCTGTTTTTTTTCCGTTCTTCGCGGGCCGTTATTACGCCCTTTTCAATCACGCTAGGGACTTCGTTATGGAGTTTTTTATGGAAGATTCTGTCGCTACTTTCAATGATGAGCAAGCCAATGGCCCAGCGCAGATAGCTACTCTTTTTAATGGGGTGGGGGAATGCATCTACACTGTGGATGTACTCTTCATTCACGCCATAAACCCGGTCACCCTTGTTACTTATGCGGATGTCTACGGGCTGTTCCA